ATGAAAAGATGTTGAGATTTTGATATCCAGTGTCTATAAAAAAAAATGGTATTAGCATCATTTTCCTATCACTATATTTTGCTATAGTTTGTTTATTAGTTATCGTTATAAAGTATTTGTTTAATAAAATTACCATCTTCGTAAAATTTGGGCAAATTAACGGTATAAATCGAATAACCTCCCATGTACCTAGGATCCAACCAATTTGTTGGCAATCCTGTAAAAACCACACTATTATTTGGAAATATGCATGAGGCACCTGTATAGACTATCTGCGTTCTCTGTTCTTTCAGCAAGCTACCGCTATAGTTAAATAGATCCAATAAACTGTTCGCACCAGTTAAATTTAAAAAATTAAGTGGATTTTGTCGTAGACTGCTCTGAATTAGAAGAAATCCACCATAGCTTTATAAAGAATAATATATATGTATATAAATAAAGATAATAAAGATCCTGATACTCTTGTAGATGAATAATAAGTTAAGAAAATGTAATTACCGTAAAGGAACAGCAGCCAAATCCAGCAAATCACCGAAAGTAGCTTGATTATTAGTAATATTAGATCTAAGCGGTACTACATTATGAACCATCCCACTTGATAAGAACGTAACTTGGTAAGGCTGAATTCCATTAGTCGAATCATTCATCATTGACTGCAAGAAACAATTGAACCCTCTCCCGATACTTGACCCTGCACATGCCAATATCTTAATCTCTGCAGCAGTAGTTCCAGAAAATATAACAAATGGCGCTGTTTTGACATCCGCACTGTTTGGTTTAATGAATACAGCGTACACTTGACTTTGGGTTTGTGGTGGTGATGTTGGATCAGTAATATTTGAAGGTGTCATGGTTACGGACCATGTGATCAGGAAACCGCCATCTATTACAGCTTGAGTATTATAAGAACGAACGCAACCTTCTTTTGTTGTGATGTTATAAGTGTTATCACCTATTAATGTTGAATTATTCGTATTGTATACTTTCCATTTGATCGTTTCGCAAGAATTTCCCATGTCATGATAATATACCTATTAATCAATATTTTATATCAATAAAAATAGTCATAATCATAAATTTATATCATAAATTTATTATAAAGGCTCAACATAAATACTCACATAAATAAAGTTATCTCCGTTGGCTACCAACTGATGTGCTGTATTATTAATGCCAAAACCTTCAATGCTGGCAAAT